CTTCGGCTAACCACTTTGACATTTTCACAAAGTAAAGGGTGTGGCCACCTGCTGAGAGCGGAAGGGCTGAGGAAGAGAGGTCTGGGCCTTGAGGCCAGTGGAAGGTTTTGTAATAATTATACTAGCTGCCATTCATTCAGTACTTATGCAGTGGGCACAGTTCCCGGCCCTTGAAATGTACTAGCTGATACCATCTCATGATTAACCTATGTGGAAAGATACTATTATTACTTCCATTTTAAGATGGGGTAACTGGGGCACCTGGGTGGCTCAGTCGGTTGAGCGTCTGACTCTTGATTTCAGCTCAGGTCGTGATCTCAGGCTTTTGAAATCAAGCCCCGTGCTGGGCTCCATGCTCAGCACAGAGATTCCTTGGGATTCTCGCTCTCCCTCTGTCCCCTCCCCCTGCTCACTTGCTCGCTCAAATAAATAAATAAATAAACAAACAAACAAAATGTGGTAACTGAGGCCTAGAGAGGTCAATCTACTTTTGCCTAAGGTTGGACATCTAAAAGTGGTAGAGCTGGGATTTGAATCCAGGCAATCCGGCTGTTGGAGCCTATGCAAAGAACCACAGCAATTTCCTGCCTCTCAGTCCCTGAGGTGCAAGTCTATGAAGGGTCAGCAAGACAGGGAGAGGAGGACTGTGGAATGAATGATATATGCAGGCCTAGGAGCAGTCAGCCAGCTACCAGGCTATGCCAGGAAGCCCAGGAATGGGTGCAAAGAAAATGAATGGAATGGAGGTGCTGGGGGTGGTGGTGACTTTGTTAGGCTTGGCAAAGATGGCAGCTGAGCTATTCTAAAGTGCACAAGAGAGGTGGTATCTGGATAGAGGAAAGCGGCATGTGCAAAGGCCCTGAGGTGGGAAAGAGCTTAGCTAATTGGGAGGAGTGAAAGGACAGTGTCAGAGTGCAGTGGTGGGGGCAGGGGAGCATTACTGGTGAGCATTCAAACATTCTAAGGTGGGGTGTAGGCACTGGTATTTTTTAAAACCCTGGCTTATGTGGCCAGGGTTAAGAACCACTGATTTAGGGGCGCCTGGGTGGCTCAGGTTGTTAAGGGTCTGCCTTCGGCTCAGGTCATGATCCCAGAGTCCTGGGATCAAGCCCCGCGTCGGGGTCCCTGCTCAGCGGAAAGTCTGCTTCTCCCTCTCCCACTCCCCCTGCTTTTGTTCCCTCTCTAGCTGTCTCTCTGTGTCAAATAAATAAACAGAATCTTTAAAAAAAAAAAAAAAAGAACCACTGATTTAGACCAGTTTCCAGGTGATAACTCATTTGGGGCCCACACTTTTGAGAAACATGCCCTAGATGACTCTAGTGAGTAGCCAGGGTTGGGAAGCACTCATCTAGACTGAAGATGGGGAATTGAGCGGCACAAAACCACAGCTTCAAAGTGTGATCGAAGAAAAGGCAAGCCCCTCTTCACCTGGGGGCCTGGGGGATAGGAGCAGCTTCCACGGGACAGACAAGGGAGAAGGTAAGTAGCATTGGCTGGGTAAGAATCAATTCAGGTAGGAACAGCAAAGGTGCAAACTAGAGGGGGGATTTATCTACAAAGCAGAGAGAGAAAGAAGGGCCAGGAACCAGGCACCCAGGGCAGGGCAGGAAAGAGCAAAAGGAGGTGCCTGGGGGGATGGGCAGAACAGCAGGTGTGGTTCCTGGGGCTCAACAACAGTCAGGTGTCACATGCTGGTGACGGCAGCTCATTATTCATCCTTTAATTTACACCTCACCCCTACTCCCCAAACATGTGCAGCAGAAGGCTGAAATACACGTTTAGAAGGGGGCACTGTGGTGCATCTGTGGTGGGCAGGGGGCAGGAGGGCAGTGGAGTAGGCTGAGTGTGGGGTCTGACTGTATCTAGTTGACAAGGTTAACATCAAATGAAAGCCAGAAAGCCTTTGGCAGTGTGAGAGAATCAGTGAAATACAGGGGAGAGCTAAGGGGCGCAGGGCATAGGCTAACATCTATGCAGCACCCACTGCGTGCCAGGTACTGTGCCTGCCACATTGTTTCTTTCTCATTTAATAATGCAGGGCCTGGTAGGCCATGGGAAGTTTGGAGTTTCTTCTAAATGCACTGGGAAGTCACTAAGGAGTTTTTAAGAGGGAAGTGAGGAGATGTAGTTAAGTCATCAAAATGAGTGCTAGGCCCATTCCATTTTCTAGGCCAGGAAAGTACAGGCTAGCCAGTCCAGGGTCACACACGAGGAGGAAGTGGCAGAGTCCAGAGCGAAGACCAGACCTCTCTGAGATGAAGGGTGGCAAAATGTTAACAGGTGGCGAGTTAAGGGTATAGGGTGTTCACTGTATCCTTTTGACTTCTCTGTACGTTTGAAAGGTTTTGTAATAAAAAGTTGGAAGAAAGAACTAGGTCTAACACCAAAGTTTAAACTCTTTTTCCCCATTATGGCATGCTGTGTCACTAACCTAAGTGATCTTGAGTCCTCCTTGTCCCTTCTGAGCCTGACTCGGCCCGTCGGAACCATGAGATGGGGTTGGATCACTAAGGCTCTCTCCCTCACACTTGGCGCTCCCACTCGGGCAGCGTGTAGCTGTAAACTATTAGGCTACACCACAAGCCAGATCATCCACTTGCCCCGCGGTCCGAAAGACCCTAGCGGTTCTCCTGTAACAGTAGCCAGGGGTGCAGTTTGTCGCCTCTGGGAAGGGAGTCACTGAGGCTGCTCGGCCCACACTGCCTGCTGCTGTGTAAAAACTGCTGGGTGTCAGTCGTTTCCGCCCGCTGGGGGAACACTGCTCTCAAAAGGAAACACCTTCCTCTGCCAAGGCTGCGGGTGGGGCTAAAAAAACTGTTGATGACAACACTGAATCAGCACATTCATCAGGGTCAAGCTCATAGTCAGACCGAACTGGAAGACGGCCCTGGTTGCCAAGAAAGCTCCAGCTGAGGCCTCTTTGGTCTCAAAGGGAATGGAACCTGAATGGAGATCGGCAGGGGAATAAAAGGCACCATGCTCAAATTAGGGATTTCCTCTGAAAGCTCAGATTAGAGCCCCCCAAAGTACTAAATCTATGGACTTTGTCCCCCCAAGAGGTAACAAAGGTTCAAAACTGGTTTTCAAAGGTTGCCAAATGAATCCTGTGAAAACAGGCTCTTTGTAGGGGCATGTCTAAACTGCTGAGGCTATGTTGGCAAGGACACTGCATCCTCCCAAAATGTGTATGTTGGGGTTTGTGGGGTGGGATGATCAAGGATCTGACCTGGTGTGACATTTACATGCATAAAAAATCATCTTTTTCCCTAACAGTGTTATTTTGTTGCCTGAATCCCCAGGGTTAAGATAAGAACCTGGGCTGGCCTCTGGAAGCGCTGTGACTTCCTTCTTAGCCTCTGAAAATATGTGGCTTCTTCTCGCACCCAAGGGCAAATATACTGAGAATTCTTAGATTTCCCTGTAAGACAGGAAATGACGGTACCGTCATAGCTGTGAGGACTGCAGTCAAGTGGGACCCAGTGACATAAGCCTCCCTCCTCAGTTCTTCTTTACCAAGATCACACTGATTTTTCACACAACATATATTTATTCAGAAAAAAATCTGCAATAAATTATAATAAAAAAGATGACACAAAATACAGAATCCCACTAGCAGCTTTGCTTAGTGACCAAGACATTTCTGGGAAATATAACAATTACAGAATAAGAACCAGAAAACAGTGAAAGGGGAAACTAATGCAATGTCACCACGTGGGTTCGAACCATTTCTTTCCTAAAACGATACAGATGCAGAGTTCTTCTCTACCAGCTGGATCTGAACTCCTTCCTTCAGAGGAGCTATGAAATAAATAGCGCATTAGAGTTACTTAGGAATTAAAGGTTGGCGTGCTGGAGTAGGCACAGTAGGGAGCAGATTTCTTACATCTACTCCATTTCTGTCTTCCCTACCTAGAGATTGTCTCAAACCCTTAATGCTGTATACATCCCAGGGCCAGAGCTGGAAAAACAGAGAGGCGGTAAACAAATTTAGTGCGTTTGCCTCATAAGCAAAGAGCTAGGATGCTGCATTCGGTTCCCACCAACCATATCCTTGATGATCCAAAGATCCCAGGTTGGCAGTATACTAGACAATGTGCCCAGGACAGTCATTTCCCTGTCTTTGTGTTATGACCTTGCCCCAGCTTCTATAATCTGCCTCTCCTATGATCACTTTCTGGCCTAGTGGAGATGACAAAAGCATTCTGCTCACAATCTTCCATTAACGAAGTTCTGACCTATCAGATCTGCAGGTATTTGGCACCAGGAACTTGACTCCTAGTTCCATAACTCCAAATCAGGAAAGGGTTTAACCAGAATATCACAGGATACATACCTTTTCTTCCCCCACAGAACTCAACTTACGAGAGATGGGGAGAACTGAGGAACCATTCAGCAGTGGTGTTTCCCCTGGCTCTCTCCTTCAATGTGCTAGAAGAGTCAGGAGTCAATGCCCAAGACAAGACACAGGGTCTGTACATTAGGCTCCTTGGATTTAATGTTAACAGTCAAGAATGAGTTGACTCAGGGTGGTTTTAATGAAAGAAATCCAGGAAGAAGCCAACTGCATCAGGCAGTTTTGCAGTCAGTGGCTGGTAGCTGATTTGCCCACCAACACAGAATAATTAAAGAAAAAAAAAAAGAATGCTGCCCCATAGAGCCTGAGTAAATGAAAAGCTCAGAGGGTTGTCTTGGGTGGGAGAGAAGGGGCTTCGTTGGGCCCACCGCATAGTCTCTTTTCTGTAACACTTGATAAGGTGACTAGGAGCCATGGGGAGCTGGTCGTAAAGCCCAGAGCCAGCCTGATGAGGGAGGGGGCAACATCTGCCCCTCGGTATTTCAGGAGACCAGAGAGGGGGTTCCAAGGGTTATCCATAATACCCTGCTGGGGGGAAGAGCAGTATCACCAGAGAGGCCCACTAGAGGTCCAGACTGCCTTTTTGACTGCGATGCAACAAGCATTGCTCTGGAGGTGGATTTCTAAGTGCGGAATGGGTCCCCCAGACAACCAGGATTAATTCTCATGTAAAATTTGATTAAGAACAGAAAGGGATGGTAGAAAGCAGGACCTGTCAAACATGAATATTCTCACTTCTGAAATGCTCAAAGTGCTTCCACTCTGATGGTGATTCTCTCACATCAATGGGATGTCATCTCTAGGCTAAAGTTCTGCTAGTAAATGTGGTCTGAGACAAGAGAATATGGTTCCACCCAGTGCGGATCCAGGAAAAGGCCAATGTTACAGACATACAGATGCCACTGTAGTAGAAATGCACAAATGCATGTCACAACCACATGTAGATGGTTAACTCACTGCTAGGGACATCCGAGGAGTCACTAGCTTCACTCAGACTTCTTTTGACATAATAGAACTAGTGGAGTGGAGTGCAAAGGGGTGATATGGGGGGGGGGTCGGGTAAAAGTGCTTTAGACGAAGGACTACAGACAAGTCTGAGCTATGGCATGTAGTGCTTGTAGACCTGGAACAGGAACATCTCAGAATCTAGGCCTAGGGTGCTAAGGACAATCATGGTAGCTGGGCAGGAGGGCAACGAACACATCCCCAGGTAAAGGGGTGTAAATACAGATCTCTTTGCCTTATAAAGAGAACACAAAAACACCAAAATATGGTACCTTTGGCTTGGCAATGTAAGTCTAAAAGTATTTTGCTGTGTAGGATATGGTAAGGGAGGGATTAGGAAACTCTCTTCCTCTTGCACTAGAAACAACCTTTTCATGCCAACAGCCTCAAAATTCTGCAACAGACCCTTCCTGTGGCATGACTTTTCAAATCATTCTGAAATACTTGGTGCCCAAGATCTTCCGCCTCTAGAATCTCAGAGAGTAATAAGAAGAAAAGGCTTATTAGTCTTCATCGCTCTCAAGAAACCCCAGAAGGAACTGGATAGCACGCTGACGGTCACTTGGAGTCTGTCTTGCCATAAGGTTGGGTGGAGGCCTTAGGAGAAGACTAGTGAAGAGAGTGGCTAGAGGGTGAGAGAAAGGAAAAGGGAAAACCCTTTGTCAGACACAACCTAAGCAAAGCCTCAGGGATGGGAAATTGGGGGCCAGGGGATGAGGGCAGTGGGCCATGTGCCTGGACATGAAGGCTGCCCCAACCAGCCTGCCCCCCTGCTCATGTTGCCGTTCTCATGAAGTACTCTTACCGATCATGTTTTCGCTGACATTGTTGTATTTAGAGAATTTTAAGAGTTCTCGAAGGAATGCCATCAAGTAATGGAAAACATTTCTATGGCATCTTGGAAGCTGGGAAATCACCTGTTTTTAAAAAAAAGGGGGGTGGGCAGTGAGAACAAGTGAAAGGGAGTAAGAAGAGCTTAAAGCTGTCACAGTAGTTTATAATCCAACCCATACAGGACCCCATTCATCTTTTATTTCCTCATGACTACCAGATTCCCTGCCAAATGAAAACTTCCAAGTCAGAATGGTCATAGTGGGGGCGGCCTGGGTGGCTCAGTCGGTTAAGTGTCTGCCTTTGGCTCAGGTCATGATCTCAGGGTCCTGGGATCAAGCCCCGCAATGGGCTCCCTGCTCAGCAGGGAGTCTGCTTCTCCCTCTCCCTCTGCTGCTCCCCCTGCTTGTGCTTTCTCTCACTCTCTTTCCCATTCTCTATCAAATAAATAAATAATATATTTAAAAAAAAATGGTCATACTGTTTGGCCCCTATACACTCAATGAACAGGCCACATTCACATGTGTGATGTGGTCATCACACATTCACACACATACCGCACCTCACAAGCAGGTTAGTATTAATCTGCTCTTTTCCCATCTCCTCAGACAGGTAGCCATGGCATCTGCCAAGCTCAATGGTTTTCTCTGCAATGTCATTTAGCAGGGATGGGAGCTTCTCCCAATACTCACTAGTCTGACTGAATGGTATTCTCAGCCACTGTGCATCAAAATTATTTCAAGATTAAAAACAAACACCAAGAAGGTACAACCTGGCTGGCTCAGTGAGTGGAGCATGCAACTCTTGATCTTGGGGTTGTGGGTTCGAGCCCCACATTGGGTGTAGAAATTATCTTTTAAAAAAAGATTTTATTTATTTATTTGTCAGAGAGAGTGAGCGCACAAGCAGGGAGAGCAGCAGGCAGAGGGAGAAGCAGGCTCCCCGCTGAGCAAGGAGCCCGATGCAGGACTCGATCCCAGGACCCTGGGATCATGACCTGAGCTGAAGGCAGACGCTTAACCAACTGAGCCACCCAGGTGTCCCTAAAAATAAAATCTTAAAACAAAACAAAAAACACCAAGGGGGTTCCTGGGTAGCTCAGTTGGTTAAGCGTCTACCTTCGGCTCAGGTCATGATCTCAGGGTCCTGCGATCGAGCCCTGCGGCAGGCTTCCCACTCAGCAGGGAGTCTGCTTTTCTCTCTCCCTCTGTCCCTCCCCACCCCTGACTTGTGCTCTCTCGCAAATAAATAAATAAAATCTTTAAAAAAAAAAAAACAAAACACCAAGAAGACGAAAAGGAGAAAGGCTCCCAAGTGTCACGGACCCTTCCTGGTAATGTCAGCCAGAATTCCATGATCAGCTTCACCAATCCTATGCCAGAGTAGAGGTATCTGCCCTACTCAATAGGCCAACTAGAAAAGTGTGGCAAATATAACAGAAAATAACCTAAAATTTATGAGTCCCAACTCTCAATGCTAGTGTCCTGCCATGAGTGACAAATTCAGACCCATCCTACCACATAGCTAGCTACACAACTGAAATTGATTTCTCTATGGGGGCACTTGCCCCAGACACATCCTCAGAGCAGTAAAACTCACCTGTCGGCAGTTCTGGGGATCCTGAGCAGAGTCAAGGCATCGCTGATACAGCTCATAACAGATGACGGGCTCTGGCAGGGCTTCCAGGAAAATGAGCAGTGCTTCAGCCACAGAGTGATTACTGCCAGCTGGATTAATTTAAGTCAAGGGAAAGGGGCTCCAGGAAAAAGGCCACACAGAGACCCGATTTGCTTTCTTCCTCCAGCTCCCTCAGGGACAGTTTCCTTCCTATTATTCAGGGCACACTGATCCTAACTGGGGTTTGATATTTTATTGGTCCAGGTATGCTGCAGCTGAGTTGTTACAGAATTGATCAAAGACTCTTGGGAGGTTTGGCTCAACTTGAGAGTCAGGGGAATACGGTGTGCAGAATGACGTTCACACTGCATCAGTCCCTGAAACTAGTCACCAACGTTTCCCATCCTCTTCCATGTCCTAGTGACAACACATGTGGTGGCAGGAGTGATCAATGGCCTGAAGCAGAACAGTACCAGTGCTGTGGGTCCTATGTTCCATGTTTATTAAAAGTCATTGTTACCTACCCCTTGATTCCTTTCAGTAAGAGTCTGAGACAAAGAGAAGTCAAAAGTTCCTGAAAGGAACTGAAAAACAACTGCAGAGTCAATGATTACCTTATAATAAAAGACAGTTACAAAGAAAGTAAAGATGGAAACACAAAACTCAAATGCGGATGGGAAGAAGAGTTTGGTCAAGAATTCTTCATCCAGCTTCCTAGGCCTTTGTCAAAAAGGATACGGATTGTCTCGGGAATGCTAGTATCCAGACAATCAATGATCTGCTGTAACTCCTCCTGCATTCCAGGGGTTTGGAACAGGTCCTCCTACCAGAGAGGTCACAATGAATGGAACAAGGCAAGAAAATCAGCCCTAAGGTTCTGAAGACCACCCAGGAATCAAGAGAGTGGCAGGGAGGGTATGTGCTATGGTGAGCGCTGTGAACTGTGTAAGACTGCTGAATCACAGACCTGTACCCCTGAAACAAATAATACATTATATGTTAATAAAAATAAAAAAAGAGAGAGAGAGAGAGGGGCAGGATGCAAATGGAAGGGTAATATGCATACTCGTGATTAGGAACAGACGTGTGACAAAGGCATCTTTTCCATTTATCATCTGTATAATCCACGTGAAATTTTGTTTCAAAACAGAAAATGATCTTCAAAGGTTTTAGCCTATACCTGAGATGGCAGAGGACTAGATGGCTAGAGTGGGTGACGAGGTGTCCCCACTTCTAGCTTCCTGCCAAGTAGAAGGCAGAGTCCAAACAGCTGAACCACATTCAGATACTGATACTAGGGAATGCTAGGGCAGGGGTAAATGGCATGCCCACACCAAACCTTGCCTTTGAGTTCTATTACTCTTCAGTAGGTAAGAAAACATTTTCCTCCAATTTAGTCCCAGGAAATTTCTCTTTCTGGGGGGTTGGGTTGGAGGTAGCTAGCATTTTAGATAAGATTAAAAAAAGAAAACCAAATTAAAGAAATGGGCTTGAAGTTTGCTTTGGACTTTAAAATCTGCAATGCCTACACGAGACCAAAAGCAGGCATTACAGACTGAGGTACACAGCGGTCCAGGGGAAAGTGTGTGTAGTCAGGAGACAGGTGTGCTCAGTTTGGGCCTGGCTCCGTCATCACACTTATGCTGTGGTCTTAGCTGAATCACTTAGGTTGCAGGCTTCAAGTCTCATATCTTTAAATAAGGATACTTCCATCTGCCCAGATGACCTGATAGTGCTGCTCGGTGAATGTAGCTCGGGAAAGTTACAAGCCCTATACTGACACGAGGTATTATCATTTCCTACCGGATTCACACACCTTCCAAAGTTGCAGGGAAGGCCCACAATCACTTACCTGGTGACAGGCATGCTTGAATAAGTGATCTACCAGAAGCCAGATCTCCTTGGGGACCTGAAGGGGTCTCTCACTGGCACCTTCATCCAAGGGAACCATCTGCAGAAGGGATTTCTCCTAAGAGATGAAAAAGGAGATTCAAAGAGGTCTCAACAAAAATTTGTGTAACTTAATCTCCTTCATATTCTGCTTTATGTAGGTACAATGTAATCTTCATCTCTTAAGATTTGTCATTTTTTCTGACAACCCTGGTCAGAAGGCACTTGATACTGATTCCCACAGTTAAAAGATTTTCTTCCTCTTTTAGATGCTTAACAGTTAAGCATTCCATTTGGGTTTATTACGTTCATCCTGTGGCGCACCGTGTGTTGTAAATCCTCTCAGGGGTGACGCGCAGAATGAGCGCTTTGGCAGTATGGTCACGGCGGAGTGCGTGTTCCGCCCGAGACCTGGGGGCCGTTCCAGCACAGCGGTCTGTACAGTCCTCGCAGAGGTTTCTGTTGACTTTTAACTTACTATTCTCTCACTTCTTACCACAGATGTTACCGTTTTCATTGTTGATTTAAATGAGGCTCTCTGGTCCTCAGAAATTAAAGACAATTCTCCACATTACACCTACATTCGTGAATATTTCAGGCTCAGTGGAAGGTCTAATCTTAAGGCACTAAAACTCGTAACTCAGAAGATCCAAAAATAGTAAACCAAATACAGCATACCAAGAGCCAGAAATACTGTGAAAAGCTCAGGGTCTGAGTCCAGAAGTTACTCTTTATATTAATAACTCAGCAGAGATTTCTCAGGGCTGTGACCTCTTTCACGTACCCTTCTACTTTCTTAGATTCTCCTGAAAGAATCTAAGAGAAAAACCCAAAAGTGACAACAACTAAATCTGAACTTGTAAATGGCTGGGGAAATAAACTCAATTATCTTATGTCTATATAGTCAAATAGAAATTATATTAAAAAGGTGTTTGAGGGGTGCCTGGGTGGCTCAGTCATTAAGCATCTGCCTTCAGCTCAGGTCATGATCCCAGGGTCCTGGGATTGAGCCCCGCATCGGGCTCCCTGC